CGAGCCCGCAATGTGACATAAATACTGTTCAGAGGATTTTTTGGTGCAACAGCTGTCACTTTAACACCTCAATGTGGATGTCCGCAAAAACACCAACGCATTAGCGCAGTCGGACGATTGCATTAGAGGCTTATTACATTTAGGACCAAATGTTATTGCATTTAGGACTTTATTACAATTAGCACTTTATTGCATTTAGGAAAGTTATTACATTTAGGACTTCAACATCATCCATATTGAAATTATCGATACTATGGTTTTTTTCTTTTTGACAACAACAACTTAATTCGCACTGTAAAATTAGTAATACAAAACACTTTGTTTTATTTAAATTATGTAGTAGCTGACTACTCAAAATAACTTACCGAGGGGCTAAACTCGTCAGGTGACTGCCATTAGTCATTTAAAATATACAATAGTGCAGAACCCAAAAAGTTTTTTAAAAAAATAAGTATAAAAAAATTAAGGGAAATGAAACACAATGAAATTAAAACCTTTACACTGTTCGAAATTTCGTTTTCGTTCTAAGGATGTCCTTTACGTCCAGTCACAGGTATATGTTTACGTTGTACAATAGGCGAAATATGAAGATTTGCATAGGATCAAAGAACGGTCGCACTCTACACCTTAAAATAATCTGAACTAGTTAAAAAAGCAAACAAACAGACGAACAAACACAAACTTATTTCGCTCCAGTGATTGTTCCTTAGCAACGCGCGAACTTTGTGGATCGTCATAAATTCGTGAGATTAAGTCCGACGGGATTGCATTGAACGGTCGACTGCGTCCTGTAATTGTATACAGAGAGTTTTTCCTGGTATATATTGGATTAAAAGTACGGATTTTCCTAGTTAATAAAAAGGACAGTTGATTGAAACAAATGTCAGTTGCATCGGGAGACGATCAGATTATGAAGTAAGTTACTTTAAAGAAAGAAAGTAACGATCCACTTTACTTTCGGAATATTCGATTTCAGTATACAAAAAATATAAAGATACCTACATTTCTAATCCGAAGTTCAGTTTTGAGACAACGTCTGAACTTATGCCGATTGTTTTCCTCGTTCACCTCAAGCGACTAGCTTCTGCTTCAAACCAGAGTGATAACAACTAATTAAATGTAATTCCAGAGTTTGGGAATCATACCACCTGTACTCTGTAACCAAATAGGATGTATCTTAATGAATTGGCAGTTTCGCCAGCGATAAACGTTCACGATGAGACTACTAGGCAAGATAAACATATGTTTTTTTACAATAGACTCCGAAGCAGAAGGAAATGATAAAAGAGGAGATCGTGTGAAACTCGCAAACCATACTCCCTCAAGCCCCCCCTCCCCCCACACCCTACTTTCCTTCTTCTTGTGGATACGTAGTCAGCGAGAATAGGATGCGTCGGGTGGAGCTAAAAATGGTGTTTTCTGTTAAACAGTTTATCCGGCACAGTTTGAACAGGGCCTGACATCAATCAGTAATATTCACTGGTAATTCGGTCAAAATCGTAAGCGACCCTCCCTTTACTGGAGTCCAGTAGATTTTGAAAGGTTGAAATATAGCGTTCATTAAATGACATTTTTAAAGTTATTCTTCACGAACAGTTTTTCAAGAGCTCCATTCTTGTTTCGTCGGACAATTTATTAGGATAAGTGTTAAAATAGACCCATAACTGTGAAATGATAGCAAGTAAAGAGCCATTTTAAAGTTCATCGATCGATCCAGCATATACAGGTAATGTATTTGATGTGAAATCAGTAACATTACCTTCCTGTTCGCCTTTTTCCCAACATAAAAGTTTTTTTCCATCTGAAGGATATTTCATCTTTATGCACAGTTGGACGTAGTACTTTACGGTAATTCAGTTAGCCCTGTTTTAATTTTCGTAAACAAGTTCTAATGCAGTGCGTAGCGTTTACTGTATGGAGAATGAACGATTGATAAACTGCCTCACAGCCTTATACATTAGCTATTGCCACCATACAATAGTATGACAGGTCTCCAAATTAAAAGGACCGGTAGATTTGGAAGGAGCACGTTGCTGTCCTACATACCACTTAGACGTAAATGAAATGGAGTAAACTGACACTTTATCATACCGCCTCCCGGTTAGAGTGCCAGCCGAGACTGTTGTGCGGGAGGTCGAGGGTTCAAGCCCGGCCGGACCAACACCCAAGGTCTTAAATTAACTGAAAAGAATGTGCTACCTTTCTATAATATCAAGAAATGGATAGACATTCTAATCTTCTCGGATAAGGACGAATAGACCGTAGATCCCATCTCCTGCATCTATTAATTAGTTCATTTGGTTAGGCGGGGGACGTTAAAGAACCCACTCACGAGATTACTGTTTACTGAGAATTTGGGGTTAGGTGTCAATTGGTACGAAAGTTCTGTTCCTTTCTCCTGCCATTCCCGTGGCGAATAGATTAAAATTAAATTAAAAAATTTAAAAGAAATTAAAAATTTAGATGTTACAATGTCCAGTTGCGCTTTACAATGTATAAGAACTGAATTCAATTAAACTCTGACACATCATGAAGAAAAATTCCTCTTACAAGCTTAAGGAAAATGTCTAAAAGATAGAATGTCAAATAGGTAAATGTCTAAATGTAACAAAATATGTAACTCTATACGAAAGGTTTTCTAAAAAGATGAGTCATAACGTTTTCTCAAGATTCAGATCGTCAAGCTTTAACGATGAAATGTTTAATAGGTAAAATGTCTAAATGTAATATATTTTGACAATAAAAAATCAACGTTCATTTCAGCTCAAACTGAGTCAAAAAGTGAGATGATTTCTATGTACAACGTAAGTCGGAAGGTTAAAAAACCTGGTTGCTAGTGCATATTTCACATGTACATTTGCATATTTCATATATTTTATATATTTGGTTTCAAAATCAGGATGATGGAGGCTTTGGTCAGCGTTCGAGGTAAGTCCCTTTTGCACTCATTTAACCCATAACTGCAAATTATCAGGTGTAATAATTTACGCATCAATGTGAAAAAAGATCAGAATGAAAAGCACGAAATGAACGAAAAAAGAAAAGATATTAGAGATGAATGTTTCAATTTGGTTTTTCTCCCTTCTCCTTTTATCCTCTCGTGTTCTTTTCTTTCCGAGAAACAGAGATAGAAATACAAGTTCTCGAAGAGATTATAAGAATGAGAGAATACATAGTGCGGGTTGGTAAGGAAAAGTAACTCAGAAACATGACTTGGTCTTTAAACTGTGATAGAAAACACATTTTGTACATCTAACCCTCACTGGTGATTATGAATTAGATAGGAAATTATGATGACAATAACAAAGTTGTGAATTCTCCAACCACTCCCTAATCTCTAACGCTGGAAAGAAATAACCTAAAAGCCACCTTCAAGAGGCCAACCAAACGAAACTCTGCGAAGATTAATCGATTCGTACCACGCATGATGTCGAGCTCTTAGTGTAACTTTCAGGAATAAGACCAAATTTGTTTTTTCTTAGTGCTACTCCTCAGACCCAATTCATAAACCTGAAAACAATTCAACGGTCTTCCTACACATTCTCGCCATAGTATTCTCGCTGCACCAGAAGAAAACCTAACCAATACACAAAATTTACTCTCAACTCATCCTCATCATACTCCTTTCTCTTATTGAGTAGAATAAGGCGACAAAGTCCCGACTGATTGACGTCCATTAATTTTCATCTTTCTTTCTCGTTTACAGAGGTAAATTAAAAAGGACCTTCTTAATTTAAACACGGTGACGCAAAATCTCCAGCAATTTTTGTTCTATTCCCTGCAACGATCGAAACTAACCATGAAGGAGCAACTAATAGGAACGCCAATAAATACAAGCTATGGATCAATGCAAAGCTGTGAAAAGTAGCTGTGTGAGTGCTGAATTAATCCTGTTTCTGTTACAGGACAACATCATTGTGCGACTACCCCGAGAGATTTCAATGAAATTACAGCTTTTCTGGCCATAAGATGTACCGAAGAAAAGACTTAAACTACGATAACTTAACGGGTCCGAAGCCATATTTCAAAATCTTAACTTAAAAGCCGATAGTTTCTATATTATTTACTTATATTTCTTTTGTTTGATAATAAAAGTTATTGATATCTCGATCTTGAATGTATTCACGACCGGCGGATACCAGCACATTTTGAGATCGATAATTACCGGGTCTATCGAGAAACGGGCTCCAGGTTTGAACCTTGTTCATGCTTCTTTTGTGAGACAATTTATGCCCAGAGAGTCTCTATATCCACCCAGGAGTGTAAAAGGGCAACAGCAAATTTTCTTACGATGGACATTGAAAGAGGGGAGCAATACTCTTAGAAGCGTCATGCATGAAAATTAAAAAATTGCAAAAATTCATAGGCAATTCAACCAGCCTGTGGAACACGCTTTTTCTTTTCTTGTGTTTTTCGCAGGCAAGCGCGAGACGAGCGCGGGACGAGCGCGAGAAAGGTGCGAGGGGCGATACACGCGCAAGAGGGCGAGTATGTAAAAGACTACGGTATACGCATCATATTTTTGCGCTCGTTCTCTCACGCGTAACTTACTCTTCACACTTTCTTCGCACCTGCCTTGCGTTTTGCTATGCTCGCCTGAAAACGCAAAGAAATCGACGCCTATCCCGCAGAATTCACGATCCATATGCAATTCTCGTCGAAGCTTAAAATTACCGCCATTTTGAGGGAAAATGTTAAGTTTGGGCTCGATTTCCGCCGCTCTCTCGAGTCTGGTATTTTTCGTCCCTTCCCGAGAAGAGACTGTTGCTAAAAGACTACGGTATGCGCATCATATCTTTTGCGCTCGTTCTCTCACGCGTAACTTACTCTTCACGCTTTTTTCGCACCCGCCTTGCGTTTTCCCACGCTCGTCTGAGCTTAACTTAACATAGGCTCGATTACCAGCCGCTGTTCGGTAACTGGAGCCCGCGCTCCTTCCCTAACAGCGTCTGGTAATCGAACCCATGTCAGCTCAGACGTAATGAAAAAGTACTTGGTACCTGAACTCCGTAGCCGGCCACACGATCATAAGACTGAGATCCGTGCGGTGCCTTCATCGAACCAGGCCCCTGAAATTTGGTTTTTTTCTCGTTCAGTTGGCAGTTGTTTCTTCCTACACTTGTTAGAAAGTTGAAAGAAACGCACCGGCAATTTTGCTGACATTCAAACCAACAACTGAATTGCCCCGTCATGTCAAAAGTGTATGCAAATAGGGCTTGGCCATTGACCGTCTCTCCTCCAGTAGTGAAAGCGAAAGTGACAGAACATCTGGTGTGGCCAGAGCCCATAGTTATTGCAGCAGTCACAAATAAGCGAATGATGAAGTCACAAAGACGCTCTGGAGAGTTTCTCCTGGTATAAAAATTAAAAGTAAGGACTTCTTGGTTAACACAAATGGACAAACGATTGAAACAAATGTCACCTAGTTGTATCGGAAAACGATCAGGCTGTGAAATAGGTTTTTTTTGAAGAAAGAAAGTAACGTGGGGCGTTGCTTTCGGAATATTCAATTTTAGTATATTAAATATATCAAGGTACTTTCATTTTTACTCCGAAGCTCAGTTTTGAGAACTTATGCAAATTTTTTTTACTTGTTCACCTCAAGCGACCAGCCTCCACTTTAAACTAGAATGACAGCAAGAAATAAAAAATAATTTTAGAGTGTGGCAATCGTGCAACCTACACTCTGTAGCCAAATAGGATGTATACTAATTGGCAGTTTCGCCAGCGATATAAGTTCACGATGAAACTTATAGGCGAGATAAATATACATATTTTTGACGATAGACTTCGAAGCAGAAGGAAATGATGGAAAAGGAGATTGCGAGCATCTCGGAAACCATATGGTTTCCGAGATGCTTGCAATCTCACAATAAATATAAATATATTTCTTACAGTTCTGAATTTCTGAATTTTGTGAAATTCTCATAATCCCCTCAAAATATATATCAACAAACAAATAAACCAACTGGGCAGAGCTTAGAGCGGTTTTCCGAAAGTTCGCCAGTCTACAAACATCTGTTGCTTCTGGAAAGCACAAACAAGATGCGAGGATTAATGAACTCAGTAAGAGCTCGAGCATGCGCAGTTCTTAATTGGGTGTCGAGAAACCGCGAGGGAAGTAAACACAACAACAAGCCACAACAAAGGTTGAAAGCATCATCAATCGATGAAATCTCAAAGGAAAAAACAGGCAAACTGCATCAAGTGCTGAAAAATTCGAGTGACAAAGTCGCAGCTGGCTGAAGTTTTTTATCTGATTGGCTGAAAGCGTGGTGACAGTTTTTTGGACCAATCCCAGAGCGAAGCAAAGCTGAAGGTGTCCCACATGTACAACAGAAAAATGATCTATCAAAGTTTAAGCTTAAGTAAAATATCTAAAAAAGGTAAACTGTCAAATAATTAAAATGTCTGAATTTAGTAATATGTATAATTCTATAAAAAAAGCTTTTCTACAAAGGTGAGACTAATTCTCAAGAACATTCAGATCGTCAAGCTTAAAATATAAAATGATTAAGAGGGTAGTGACAGATGTAAAGACATGTGAAGATCGAGAGTCACTTTCTGATTGAAGTGTGATAAACAAAAAATCACCTAAGATAATACTTGTCTTAGTTTATATGTCACAAAGTTATATTGCATTTCATTTGAAGGCGTTTTACAGTGGTACTCACGGATTTAACGTTTATTATAGGAGTCCCAAATTCTATCACTTCAAAATAAACACCCTACGTTTTTACTTATTTCGTAGGAAACGATTCTTACACAACCATAATTTTTTTTCTGCGTAACGAAGAAGAGGGATGTTAAAGTGTCTATACGGCCAACAGGATTTTTATTGTTTTGGTATCTCTTTAACCTGTAAAAAAGTATTCTCAAAAAAAAAAAAAATTTGATTCTGACACCTCTTCACCCTAAAATCGAGCTTTAAAGTTCCCGCTTCGGCCACGCCCAATGAAGTTGACCGCGTAAGGGAAGATTGGTGTGAGTGACGTCACTTCAGTACTTTTACAACACATCTATTGGGCGTATTTATGTCGCCGAAAACTCTTTACCATACTGAAAAAAAATACAGTGAAATGAACCACTGGCAGGATTTGGCGCGTTCCTGACTTGACGTCACGACCCATTCTGAACCCAATCTCTTTTTTGCCCCGACTCACGGTCACCTTTAATGGGCGTGGCCAAAGCGGAAGTTTAAAGCTCGATTTCAGGGCGAAGACTCGTGAGAATCCAATTTTTATTTAAGAATAATTTTTTACATGTTAAATTCATATCAAAACTAAAAACCCTGTTGGCCGAGTAGACGCATTAAACTTCGTTGTTCAATGTGTACTACATTATAAAATAAAATAAACTGTCACAGACTGCACGTGGCTACTAGTATAGCACACCTTTTGTAGCATTGAAAAGAACCAGAGTTTGTATAATGACGCAAGAAGGTGGTTTTGCAGAATACTTGTCTCACATGCGAAACAGAAAACCCACCCCATCCATATGTTTATGAGTACCCTGTTCCACAAGGGAAAGATGACTAAAGAATATACTATCCAATTGAAATTCGACCAATAATTAAATGGTAGCAAAGAATAATATTTACAATGATACTAATGATACAAATAGTAATATAATAATAATTTGAAGGGACTAGCTCGAAAGGCTTATGATTTCTTTCCTTTGGGCTCCAACAATGATTATCTATGCTTATTTTAATTTTGCCTGTTAATTGGAGATAATTATATTGTTTTATTTTCCTTCAATTCCATTTCTGGGACTTGTGTTTTGGGATATTCCGCGTTATTTCGCGTCTCAGGACATTACACCATTCCACCGATCCACCGTTCCATCATCCAGCTTCTCGCTTCTCGCTTCGCAAATTTAGCGGCCTATCTCGGCCAAAGTCGCTGACTCAAACAGTAAAATGCTCTCTTTTCAAAGTAAAAAATTTCGTCAAAGTTTACGTAATGTACAGATCATGTCTATTAATTACGATATTTTACCAAGGGGAAGTTTTGATTTCAATCATGCGTCGAAGGATGCCACTGTGAAATTGTTTTGAGATGTTCATCGTCGTCAGTTCTAGTGTCACGTACGGCAAGAACTAGAAGATTATAGCGTCGGATCTACATATTTTGCTGATTTAGACTTTAAAGTTCTCTATCTTTAAAGACAATGTTTTATGATGCACCGATCACGCCAATTTAGATATTTCTGCAAGGAAAACTACTGTTTTAAATCTTGCACAATTCTGAAATGATTGAGAGATGTTTTTATCGCTTTCTCTTGTCTTCCATGGTGTCACGGGAAGAACTGAGAACGCTGTGTAAGAGGCTATAATCCAGAAATCACAAAAGGAGAGAACTCATCTGTGTATCGAATGCGAATGTCAAGCTAAAAGATACTCCGAAAAAAACAATAGCACTTGGAACCATTGGTCAAAATTGGGTCAAAGTCGAAATTCTCATGTAATACTCACTCACTCACTCACTCATTCATTTATCTTGACAACATATGTGGCTTTGCCACCCATGTGAGGCAGTGGCCACAAAAATTAACTAGCAAGAAACTGTTTTCTTTTGGTAAACACTTCTCCAGTTCCCTGCCCGTTTTTAGCAAGTAACTTACAAATTAGATAGCGGGAAGTTTTTCCGTTTCAGCGAAGTCTATTGCGCGAGTCAAAAGAAATCAGTGTATATATGAAAAATATTGTAGTACACGAGAACGAACAACTTCGAGCTAAGAAAAATATATACTCAAATAAAAAGTCTAAGAAAGTTTAATAAAAACGTTTCGGTCCGAGACCTTCATCAGTTGATACAATGACTTACAAATTCCTTAAATAGATTTATATAGGGCGTGATGACGCATGTAAACAAAAACAGTAATTACTACGCGAAAAATTATCACAATAAAAAGAAATGGAAAAGTTGTCGAATCCACTGAAAATGTTAAGGAACCAGCGTTGACTTGAAAGGCGGGAATTGTGCTAAAATTCCCCATCAACGCTGAGACTGGGACCTTTGATGCCCGCCCAATTTGAAAAAATTCTCCGCATTAATTATAGTTTATTCTTTTTTTTGGAGTGAAATTCCTGGCGCTTATTCAAACCGAAGGGTGCCAGAGAGAACAACTGTGCGCTCCAATATGCTTCTTTGGTAATTAGAAGTTTCTCGATGTTACCTGAATTGTTTACTGTCGCCTGCACTTGATCAATGCATTGGAATGAGAAATCGCTTAAATCGTGTGGTGTTTTGTTGAAATGTACCGCTACTTCACAGGTCTTTTTCTTAGTGACCATAGCGGACTTGTGGTTGCGAAATCTAACTCTAACGTCATTTGTTGTGGAACCAATGTATTGTAGGCGACATTTCTTGCACGAAGCCAAATAAATTATGTCCTTTGAATCACAGGAAAGTTTCGATCGTATCTTGTAACTTTTGCCTGTTTGAAAACTTTAAAAGGAATTAGATTCAACCAAGAAGTTGCGACAAAGATCGCATCTTGTTCTATTACATTTAAAACATCCCTTGACCTCAGCAACCCCTTCGCTTTCAATGTTAGGGCCATAATTTGACGATAAATTTGGCTTTAATTATAGAAAATGCCCGCAACAGATTGAAGACATGGTCAACTTCGAAGCCGAGCTCTTAAACATGGTGAATAACACTAAATTCAGGAAAGTCTCCGATAAGTTCCAGAACCAACTAAACGAAGACATAAAAAAGATCAACAACTCGCCCAAAGTCTTCATCCCGGCCGACAAGACCAGAAAATTCTACGAGCTCGACAAACCCCTTCACGACACACTCTTAGCCAACAATGTCTCTTCGACTTATCGTAAGGCAAATACCGATGCGCTCAACTCTATCAGTCAAGAAGCTAAACAAATAGCCACTGACCTCAACATCGAGGATAGCACAGAACGCTTCTCAACTAAACAAGCATTCATTACATTAAAAGATCACAAGGAAAACTTTCCTAACAAACCCACATGCTGATTGATCAACCCCGCGAGGAATGACCTCGGGAAAGTAAGAAAGCGCATCCTCGATAATATAAACAGCCGCATCCGTCAGCAAACTTCCTTGAACCAGCAGGAAAACTGTATGGACGTCATTAAATGGTTCGACAGCATCCCCGACAAACATAAGCATTCGTTCACTGTCTTCGATATAGACAACTTTTACCCTTCGATCACAGAAACCCTCCTCCTCGACGCCATCAACTACGCCAAAACCTTCACCACGATCACCGATCAAGACATCAACATCATCACGCACTGCCGTAAATCCCTCCTCTTCAACCACCACACCGCCTGGAAAAAGAAAACAAATGACATATTCGACGTCACAATGGGGAGCTACGATAGTGCCGCGATATGTGAACTCGTAGGTCTTTTCATCCTCGACACCCTCAGCAAAAAAACAGGTTAACACCAACATCGGCCTCTACAGAGACGACGGCCTAGCCTTACTAAAGAACGCATCAGGCCCGGAGGCGGACCGCCTTAGAAAAACAACATCAGTCCATTTCAAACAATACGGCCTTTCAATCTCCATAAACACCGACTTAAAAACAGTCAACTTCCTCGACGTCTCACTAAACCAAACGAAAGGAACACACTTCCCTTACAGAAAACCCAATAACGATCCCCTCTACGTCCATGCTAAATCCAACCATCCTCCTTCCATCATCAAGCACCTTCCACAGCCTATTAACCGGCGTATCTGTGACCTCTCCTGTAACAAAGATGTCTTCAACAAGGCCAAGCCCACATACGAAGACGCCCTGAAATCAAGCGGATATAACACCCATCTCTCCTACTTCAAGCCAGCCACACCTTCACCCCCTAGTTCCCGTGACTGCTCAAAAAAAAGGAAGACAGATAATCTGGTTCAAACCCCCCCTTTCAGCAAAAACGTCCAAACTAACGTCGTTAAAACTTTCCTTACACTTGTTCACCACGTTGGTAGCTCCATTTTCTGCCTTTAAAAGCACACACAACCCACAATTCCTCTATTCGCTCCGACGAAGGGCTAACGCTCGAAACGTCAGCTTTTGTAATCATTACGGTGGCCAACTTACCATTTCAACTTTGTTGATATATCCAAATTATTTGTTCAACCATTGCACACTTTCATTCTAATCAAGTGGTCACAGTTAAATAATCCGAGCTGCAACATATCAAAGACTAGACTATTTTGGGATCTTTGTTTACAGTCGCATCATTCTTTGGTGTTCTAGCTATAAGTGTAGACAGGTTCTTAGCTATTCATCTTCACCTCAGATACCAGCATGCAGCTTCTTTTTTTTTTTTTTTTTTTTTTTTTCCCAACGAATTTACCGGGGGTGTGACTAGACCCGGAAGGGTTAGTGCGAACGGAACACAAGGTCCATGCGAGGCACCACCCCTCCCCCCAATTCACCCTAGGCACTGCACTGCACAAAGATAGGCACTGCACAAAGATAAACCACAACACCGGGCACTGCGTGCCCTACTCTTTTCAAGGAGTGTGTGGGTTCTTTAGCTTGTGACTCACAAGCGCGTTGTTATTGTCGTGATCTCCATATGGGTAATGAGTGCGCTTATTTCAACAATAGGGACCTTACGCAGTGAGGACAGCAACGCCAAGAAAGACTTCGATTGAAAAATGAATTTCTACTTCTAATTAGAATTTCAAAAATGGCTGCATGTGTTTACCCTCTCATTCGGCGCCACACCTCAACTTCAGCCGAACGTATAAAAGTAGCGTTGAGTTCCAAATGGAAATGAAAATAATTTGTCATCGCGGTTCCCGTTCGCGAACGACGCAAATTTTGGTGATTTCAAGTTGTTGTTTTGCACAGGACAGCTAGGAAATGTACAAAGTTTTAAAACGCATGTGCTGAGTTATTGTTCTGCCACTTAGACCTTTTGTTCTTTCACCTCCTCATTTCTGTCGCCGTCGTGCTTTGCTTAAGCTCCCTAACAATATTGTGGGACTTCGTCTCGGGGATTATTCGACGATATTCACCTCGCATTCGGCGAATAATTGTTAAATATATATTTATGTTAGTGCGCCCTACTTCCAGAGTCCCTCACCACTTGTTACCACCTTATCACGTTTGAAAGTAACGCAATCTTCCCTAATCTCCATTAGAAAAGCATTCCTGTGCGACGAAAGTACAATTCAGGCAATTATGGCCGTGGTAAAGATTGTTGTTTGGTCATGTTTGGTGGCTGTTCTCGGCTACTTTGCCTCCCAAGAGTTTGCAATGGTCACCGAAAGCTTTTCAATACAAAAGCTTATACCTGCCGAGAGGAAGGATGTTTTTGACTTGTTGATCAATCCAGATTACCTCTTGAAGTTTCATTCCTTGTGGTAAGTTGCTGTTAAGTCCGAAAATCGAGCATTAGGAATCTCGGTTAATTTAAGTGTATAGGCCGCTTTGGTCACCATGCAGTTTGACGAGTCAGAGATGTGTTTGATCCACTGAACAGATCTGAAAGATTCCGACAGTTATCTATTCTTTCCATTGTTTTGTTTTGCTTTTTTTTTAGTCAAAGAAACGAGTGTTTAATCACGTAGGGACTTACACAGAAATCCGTTCAACCACAGACAGCCCAACCTCACTGCTAAAAAGCGGACGTGACTCTTACTGTGTTGCGCAATTTTTTTTATATTAATAAAGGTTTGTATGGGATGTTATTGGTTTGCCTTAAAAGAGAGAAAAAATGTCTTGTTTTGAAATAAAAAGGACTTACCATATTGCCTTGTTGTTTTCTTTGTTGATTACCAGCATCTCAGGCCATTTTGAAGCGATTTCGGCGAGTTAGCTCTATTTTGGTGTTCAACTGCTTTATTTTAGCAGTTGAACACCAAAATAGTGCTAACTCGCCGAAAACGCTTTAAAATGGCCTGAGACGCTGGTAATCAACAAAGAAAATAAAAAGGCAAAAAGATAAGTCAATTTTATTTCAAAAAGAGACATTTTTTTCTCTCTTTTAAGGCAAACCGATAACATCACATACAAATCTTTATAAATCGGTCAGTGTAAAACGAAGACTGCAGACCGAGGGTAAAATGCAGACTGAGGGTAAAATGCAGACTGCAGACTGCAGACCAGGGGTAAAGTGCAGTCTGGGGGTAAAATATTAATAATAAAAAAAACGAGTCTTAAGGATGAGATAAAGAGTGTTCGTACCCGTAAACTAATGTCACGTCAGGACTCACGAAACATACAAAGGCCGCTTCATGTTATGAGTTTTGGTGTTTGTATAGCCCACGTCACCTTTCAGCAATATCAATTCACAAACCTCTTGATACATTGAAGTCGAGTACAAAGATTGAATGTCTTTCACAAACTATGCTCGATACCTACAAGTTTACCTTGCCTTGTTCTTGTGCTGTCGTGTTTTGCTTGCCTTGTCTTCCAAGGCTATATGTAGAATTTGAACGCTGAAAGAGTTACTCGGTCCTAGACCTATTCGCGAAAGCACAATTCAAAATGGCCGACTTGTAAACAAAGGTAAGATACATAGCATTACGATCAGTTTGGGCGCTTCTGGGAAACTTCGTTCAACAAAATGGGGAGTTTAAGAGCTCGAGGTTGATGGTATGTTTGACTACGGCGAATAAACGCCTTTTGTTTTGAGTTTTCGGGATTTTGAAAAAAAAATTACGGGTACGCGTAGGAACACTCCCAAGTCTTGTTTTTTATTATTAATATTTTACCCTCAGTCTGCATTTTAACCCTGGTCTGCAGTCCGCAGACTGCATTTTATTCCCGGTCTGCAGTCTGCAGTCCGCAGTCTGCGCTTTGCACTGACCGCTTTAAAAATATGACGTTGCGCAACACTGTAAGAGTCACGTCCGCATTTCTAGTAGTGAGCTTGGGTTGCCTGTGGTTCAACTAGTGAAATAAAAACTTAGAGAGAGATGCAACGGTATACTGGAAAAGATTTCCGTATAACCCCATACATTGTTTATGCATTCCACTTCATAAAGACTAAATATAAAGGTTTCTTTGCAATGCTCTATGCATAATTAATGTATGGGATTATATGGAAATCTTGCCTTTTGCGTTTTCAGTCGTGCGGAGGCAAGCACGAAGTATGAGTCACGCGGGATGGGAGAAGCACAAAATTATTTTTTTGCTCTTACCCATGCGGTGACGTGTGCTTCGCGTTCGCCTAGCGCTCGACTCCATTCGCTTGGAAAGCGGAAAAAAAAATACGCTTGTTCTGCAGGCTACCCTTCGAAAAGTCTGAATTAGTGTCGCGCCAAACAACTTTACTTGCCGGTGGGAGGTCTACATATTACATTGGATGACAGGTTCGAGTGCTGCCAATGTCATTGTGCAATGTCCTTGGGCAAGATATTGAAATTTATACTCACACAGTGCACCTCTCCACCCAGGAGTAAATTAGGGTACGGGAAAACTGCTGTGTACAGTAGAGTGCGTGGGTAATATGTTAGAGAGTAGCATCCCATCCCTTAGGAGAAGTAGTACTACTAGTCACTTCATGAAATGGAAACTGACAGGGATGTAAGGCCCAAATAATTCGCATGGAGGTGCGCGGGCCAATTGAATTCTTTTATCCAAGTGGAAGATGCATGAGTAGAGCAGGAGTCATGCAAAGGCTTGTGCAACTAATGTTTCTTTCATATGAATAAGATAAATAACTAAAACCCACTTGATGGGCAAGGATATTAATGCTGGTGCAAGGTGGGTAATTAGGCTGAAGAGCACACTGAACCCTTTTCATTTGATGTCACATCTGTTTACATGACATGGAATATTCCTCTGTCGGATATGGGGGAGAGTCCACTTTAATCTGACGTATTGAACAAGCTGCAAAGTTTAAAGGACAGAATTGCATTCTACTGGTGACATTTTCTCCAGCTCCCTACTGACTGATGTTTCCACACCTAGAGTGGAAGTTATCTCTAGAGGATAACTAGTGCCATCTGATGGTAAGAGGGTCCTGGAATGAGGGCTGGCTCAGATTGTCAACAGTTCTCTCCCATTCAAATTTAACCCTATCACTCACAAGATCTTGTCAGTAATTCTCCTTACTGTCTGCCATACAATTCTTATGATGTTAGTTGGGTGAATTTGGTATTGGATCCACTAATAATCCTCTGATTGATATTTTCTTTATTCTCATTGCTTGTCTGCTTGATTTTGTATTAATATTGTAAGGAGAGATGATTTCTTGGTCACTCATGGGAGTTTATAAGGACTTCAGTCAGCCCTCAGACTTCAAAACTGTGCTGAGGATAGAGTGTTGACTCTTCTTCTGTCATGTATCTACAAGTAATCAGCATGGTTTTTTCCTTCAATTTCAGTGTTGGTATTACCAATGTAACCACAGTACATGGAAGAGATGGAACAAAAACTGTTCAGTATGTTTTTCATGAGGCACCAGTCATTTCATTAGGGTTCTTTGAAACCAGGCAAATCATCATTTTTCCTGTGAATTTGACCGTTGTAGAGGAAAATGCAATCATTGAGAGCAGAGCCTCACTGATGGGTGGTTATTTCAAGATAAAACAGATGTGGAAGATGGCTGATTACACAAATGGTAATGAAAAAGATGTAATCACCTCAATAGAAGAACACTTTGAGGGCACTTCCTTTCGTATTTTGTTACGATATTCCAAGAAGGTAGCCTTTGGAGTACACAATAACTTGGTTGAAAATATGATACAGCATTTCTTGAAGGAAAGTAAAAAATCAAATCATGACAAGTAGCTAGTAACTAAGAGCATTCTTTTAGAGTAATCTCTGTTCAATAATATTCCATGGTTTGCCTGAACACTTTCATATTTCACTAGGTGTTACATCATAAGGATTTTATTAACCTTTTCCATAGGTGGTAGTCTCCTCTCGCAGCCATTCTTTGTCTCGGGATCCCTGTGTTTGTGGGGAGGGAGACACAGGGATCCCGAGACAAAGAATAGCTGGGAGAGGAGACTATACATAGGTTGCTGCTGATAGTGTGATGTACGTGTATGATTAAATCAATTTTTGATAATTTGCTTTAAGCGCATAAGGTCCTAGTGAGCAAACGGTCGCGAAATTAATCTGTATTGCAAAGAAAAAGATGTGCAACATAGTTTTATTAATAAAGTTGTGTGTTTTACCAACTCGAGTTTTAGAAACATTCCTTCTGTCAGAGGTAAAAAGGGCAACATCATAAAAGACACATGTTGCCATGATCCTGATGTTACATCACTGGCCTCACTGGCCTCACTGGCTTAATTTACATAAGTTTAAAAACTATATTTGGAGGAGGAGATGGAAAATTGATTTGTTCCCACAACTAACAGAATCTACTCGAGATTATAAGCAACCTCTGCCGTGAAACATAACAGTTTTGATTTAAGACCATTCAAGGCCCTTTGGACCACATGCCTTTTTTTAATTTTCTAACTTTTTGAACATCTTATTGGAAGGGGCACTTGAACATCAAATCCAGCACTAGGGTAAGGCATTTCAATGCAGTTTTCATGCCAAGGGGCAGGAATTTGAACAAACCAATCTTCGATAATTTAAATGCTTGAGAGGATGTTGTTGCTTCAAACTGATTGACCCATCAGTTTCAAGGTTTGCTTGTTTATTTGTATCCTAACGAAGCAATGCACAAATTTTCCAAAGCATTTCAGATGATTAAATCCCCAAGAATTTTAACATAATTATAAACTTTTGAGGAATAATAGTAAAATGAGCTGATCTTATTTTTCAAGCTGCCTTTGGATTTATTAGTATATTTTGGAATAATCTGCTTTGATTTTACGTTTGCGCAAGAAAAGCAAATGTTTGGCTCAGTGTAATCAGTCATGAATGCTTTTTCCTCTAATTTGAATATTTATCATAATGCAGTAAATGGTTTGAACCCGGGGGTAACATGTGAAGGTGTAGTCTGATCGTCCGGTTGAGTGTAGTCCTGAGAAAGATCACTTGACTCTGATGATGACTTCCGCACAGGTTGTCGAAACGTCAGTCACTACCACCAACAACAGTCCTTCTCAGGACTACACTCACCCGAACGATCAGACCACACCTTCACATTTATCATAATGATTGAAACTCGAAAGTTTAGAGCCTGTTCAGATTTTCCCACTAATGTACTTTGACCACAAACTGCATGTGCCAATCTTTAATCTTGAAACATTTACTAGTGCCTTGCACTGAAATGGTTGTGCTCCTAAGTACAGTACTTCTGAAGGCCTTGTAGCATGACAATCCCTGAACAAAGGATCGTGCAAAATAATGGTGGTTAAAGTCATATTCTGGGCCTGTTTGGCAGCCTTTCTTGCTTACTTTTCCAACCAAGAGCTTACAGCGGTTACAGAAATTTTCTCAATAAAGAAGCTGATACTGGTGAAGAGGACGGATGTTTATGATTTGTTTGTCAATCTTGAGAAACTCTGGAAATTGTGTCACCCCTTGCTGTAAGTAAATCATGGTGGAACTTTGCTACTGCAGAGTCTCCAAGTGTTTTTTGCTTTGTTTTGTTATTTTGTTTTCAAAAACTTAAGATAAGTTTCAAGATTGAATAATTGTCCACCTTATTACCAAAATGTGGGTCTGTTCTGAACCTTTTTTTTGGCAGTCTGAGAGAAAAACAGCAATGTACTTATCGCATAGAATGATGCAATCCTTTCATGTCCACATTATTTATGACCTCATGGTTGAGGGTGTGTTCTGATCCACTGGCTTTGAAATTTGAGTTAAAACAAAAATTGTAAGGTATAGATGGTGTGTATGATCCATTAGATAAGTGTCACAATATTGGTGAGACTGCCATAGATGGCTTGAAAACAGAAGTCACCATCAGGGTTACCTGAAGATGACTTCTGCACATGTAGGTTAATACTAATCTAACTAAATGTCAGTTTCTCTGCCATTAAAATATGGACTGAGCTTACTTTTTTGACCTCAAAGTTGCTCACAACACAGAGGGAAGAAAAGCTGGCAGGTGTTCACAAACACACAAGCCCCCCCTCCCCCCCCCTTTTAGCTCAAGGTCTGGATCTGCCCATGGTATCATAAACAAATAACAGGAGTGATTTGGATATATGAACAAAGTTAAAATGGTAAATTGGCCACCGTAATGATCACAAAAGCTGACGTTTCGAACGTTAGCCCTTCGTCAGAGCAAATAGAGGAATTGTGGGTTGTGTGTGCTTTTAAAGGCAGAAAATGGAGCTACGTTATTGTAATCGTTATGGTGGCCAATTTACCATTTCAACTTTGTTGATATATCCAAATTATTTCGTTACCCCCACCGACGCAGCCCCAAACAGTTTCTTTCGAAACTATCAGCCTTTATTCAAATAACAGGAGTGGCTGACAACTTAGTTTACATAATTATATCTTTCTGTAACAGTTACAGTACTAACCAGAAGCATTGTCAAATGAGGCTGCAAGGTTTGCCATAATACTTCTTATTTTACTGGTTGCTGAGAACTGATCCTTTTAATTGCACTATTATTTAATTTTCTTAAGTTCACATTCAGGTTTGTTGTGAAATTTTGCTTTAGTCGGACATAGTGAACTGTGATAAGTTTAGTTTCAGTTTTACAACACAAAATCAGAAAGAGGTCCAAACTGATTCTGACTTGTTCTGACACAGTAAAGTTGCATTTGCTTCAAAAGCATACCCACTTCTAGACTTGTAGTTCCAGCAAGTACATGAAATAATAGTTTAAATAATGCACTCAATACCACACTGTGGTACAATATTCAACTAAGTGTAATCTGGAAGGCAATTTTGCTGGTTTTGCATATCACCCACTGGTTAAAAACTTCAGTCCTGTTCCATTTCTTTGCTATTTTGGGGTTCTACTATCCTCAAGCATTCATCTACAAATTCTGTGAATATAGGTATTTGCATGGCTTGTCCAAGAAGTTTCTCAGGATCTTCTGATGCATCAATTCCTTTGATCATTTCTTGCAGATGTTTATTATGTAGCATGCTGCATAGTTCTTGTGAGTGACCTGACAGAAAAAGCAAATAAATCATGGGGTCACACCTGAACTGATACATGTTAAATACAGCTCAAACCATCATGAGTCGATTTTACCATTACAGGGTTGTGGTCTAGCGGCACCCGGTGGCCCCTAGCACCTTACTTTCACTCTTGGGTGACTTGGAAATTTTATTTTTTTCATATAAAAGCATATGTCGGGCACCCTGTATTTCAAAGTTTCAAAGCAGTGGGCTCCCTTCACTTTTTCTTGGAACACACCCTTGCATTACCACCTAAAATAAAGCCATCAATCCTAGAAAAATGTCATTAAAACTCTGGCAAAAGGAATACAAACCAAGGCATCTCTACTACTGTTTGTTTTCTTCCCTTCCACTTCGCAAAAACTGATTTTAGCTCCTTGGTTGTTATCTCTACTACCAATTCTATTTGCAGAAGGACAGGGACATGAATTGACCAGAGTATATCCACTCCTTCTGGATGTGCAACCTCCTTCCCAGGTTCCTCTTTCTTCCTCCCTTGAGGAAAGACCCTGGTTGTGGATGGTCATGAGCCCATGCAAACCAAAGTGTGGTTCCTTGACTTAACTTTTTCCACAGGGCAATTAAATTATATCGCCAGGAGCCTGACAAATCACTAGTGCTCTTTCAAAAAATTTTCCTATTACTGTACCTGTCCAGTTAGTATTGAAAACAAATTTTACGTATTAGCCCCTCTGTTATTTTGTTTCTTTTTTCTGTAATTTACCAAAATCAGGGAGACATGTGACCAGCCATAACCAGGGTCCTTACTCTTTTTTTTTTTTTCTAACCATTTTCACTGCATTATCGCAGTAGGGTAAGACTAGAACAGAACATATGCAAACCATGCGAGTAGTCCACCCAATAAATCCCACCCATCCCACCCCAGGGGAGGACATCCATCACACAGTAATCTCGTGTGTGGGAAATTAATGTCCTAACCCTGCAGGAGACTAGACCTCCATTTATTCGTCCCTATCCGAGAAGACTAGAACGTCCACCCATCTCTTGATGTTATAGAAAGGTAGCATATTCTTCTCAATTATTTTAAGACCTTGAGTGTTGGTCCGGCCAGGGCTTGAACCCTCGATGTCCTGCACAAGAGCCCAGCGCTCTATCCATTGAGCTAACCAGGAGACGGAGAAAGAGAGAAGACCCTTAGAATGAGGTTGCTGGATGGGATGCTGATTCATCACAAGTTCCTTCCCCCCTCCACAGCATTCTGTCTGGTTACCCGGACAGTTCTCTGTTACTAATTTACACTCCACGTTGGACAGAGGCCCTGTGAGAGTAGAGTGTCTTGCCAAGCAATACAACACAATTACCCCATTAGGTCTTGGATCATGTGCACTATAGCTGTCCGTATACCAGTCAATGTAGCAGTCCATATGGTGGTTGACATATCGGTCGATTGTCAGTCAATAATTGGTTGATAGTACATTGATACTCAGTTAACAGTTATTTGATGATTGGTGCTCAGTTGGCAAGGCCTTAGTTCATGTGTACTGTAGGTAGTGTCAGGTCGCTATGGTGGCTGATGTAGCAGTTGACACAGTGGCCGACATATTGGTTGATTGTTACTAGCTAATTGGTTAATAGTAGGCTAATAGTCAGTTGACAGTCACTTGAAAGATAGTCAGTTGAGAGTAGTCTTGATAGATATGCAGTCTGTGTGTTAACCAACAATCACCTGATATATTGGCCGAAATGTCAACTTATTGACCTATATATCCCTTGAGAGTTGACTGATATATTGGCCGATATATCAGTTGACACTACCCATAGTTGGCGTGATCCAGGGTCTCCAACCTGGACCTCTTAAGCTAGATTCCAGGGCAGTAATGGTAAGTCATTGCATCTCTACATTTTACTTACAGGGAGGATGTAAGTAATATTCTGGTGCATGAAAGCATTGTCAAGAGAGGTAGTTACCAAGTTTATCTAAAACTTTTCTACTGATCCTGTCTTCATCATCTGATTTTTCACTAGAATCACTCTCTGTGATTTCTCCTTCCTCTGGTTCTACAAGAGAAAATATTTTATATGTGACAAACTACTTTTTTGAACACATTTTTTTTTAATAATCTTGAATAAAAATCATCTCGCACCTTTCGTAGCCAGTGATATGGCTCTTGATTTTCTCTCATTTTCTGCTAGTCTGTCTTTTTTTCTTCTATTTGTTTCTCTTTCACATAAGTCATCTGCGACAGAATAATGATGTAACAGTTAAGAAAATGGCTACAAAGTTAAAATTTTACTTCAAATTCATGCATGGGCATTTATACTGATCACCCCTCAATCAAACATTAAGGTAATGAGAATAAAGAAAATGATCACAGACTACAGAAGCTCTTGATTTGCAGACAAATTTTCCTTGTAAGTAAACCACAGGAAATAGGGGAAACAGAATGGAGGAATGTACTAATGATTTTAGGGTTTAAATTAAAAGGTTAAGATTTAAAGCTCTTCTGGTGATATCAAATAAAGTAATGGCAAATAAAGTGCTACAATTCAGGTTTGCTAAGGGTATGATGCAACCACTTCCTCTGATCTGCTCTCACTCTGGACACCAGTCGCTCATGAAGAGACGATCGTGTTACAATCGTACTGTGACATTATTTGTTTGAACTTTCGAATTCTTAGATCTATATCTAGATGTGATGGTAAAAAAGAGAGACTCTGATTTTGGAAAAATTGGCCAGGATATGGAAATATCATACCTTTATGAACCTTGAAGCAGGATAGAGAGCAACTAAAAAATAGAAAAACTTCTATTACGTTGAGATAGATATATATATATATAGGAAGCTCTTTGTTATGGGAGCAGATCGAATCATTGGACGTGTTTACTTACTATTTCGTACTGCAAGACGGGCATTTGTACTTGTGGCAGGCTTCTTTACAGACTTCGCAAGTTTTTGATTGCATATTTCACTTTTCCTTCATCACATAAATGATTGGAAAAACAAAATTATGAGAAGAAACCACGTTTTCCGTCGAAACCACGTTGTCTGTGTTTTCTTCTCCCTTGGCTCCTGTCAAAAGACTGGGTACTAATATAATTTCAGCCCCCCTGCCACCCCGCCCGGGTTTTCATGTCCAAGCGAATCCAATATGGCGGCTTCATCTGATAAATCCCGCGATGAGAAAAAGATTGAAAGCATCTTGTCCCAGCTTGCAGTGCGCTACAATTATTGTGTCATGGAACATCCGATATTGACGAAGAGCGTTACAAGGTGAGAAAATATTGGTTACTTTTTTAATTCGCCTATTAGGTCGCTAAATGACTCCAAATTCCCAATCATCCTGTACCCATCGACCTCAACAGTTTTCAGGTAGTACTCATCAACATCAATCGCTAGCCTACTGAACCAGCTTTAGCTGCTTGCAATGCAAGAAATTGAATGGGATGTATGTAAGTTATTCATGCCGGGTGGCAGTCCTGGCTCTCGCTTTTACAGCTGCTGCGTGCAATCGCGCAATGCAGTGACAAATTGAGCATCCTATGTGCATGCGCAGTTAACGTTATCCCGCGAGCAGGAAGAGATTGAGTCGCTGCGTGTGCATGTGGATTACGGTCACTGAGGTGGGCGCTTGAAAAAAATAATATTGCTAATAAAAAATAAATAGATAAATAAAGGGACAAGCCTAGATTGAGGGGGGGGGGACTTTCTCATTATAGGCTTATGGGGGTGTGCCGCTGGAAAGGGTCGCATTTTCATGGCTGGATTAACCTGTAAGGGTTTGCATTTTCAACAATTAATAGAATGGGGTGGCATACTTTCAAGATGTTTAGGATATGAAAATTCTGGTTGGCGAGATTTAAAAATGAGATAGTTTGTGGTTAAAAAGTTGTTAGGGTATCACCAAAAGTAACTAAAAATAAGATGGTCTGTAATTGGCCACAAAATAGATGTTAATGGGGTAGGGATTCTGAGAAGTCAGTGGTATATTCTCAGCAAGAATTGACCCAAAAATCTCCCTCCCCCTCCCCCTTGTTCTGGTTACTTGTCATTCTTTGATGACCAGCTTGTATCCAGGCTAATTTTAAGTCAAATCAAAGCACAATTCAGCCCAAAATTGTACCTGTAGTGAATTTCTGTCTGCAGATTATGGAAGATGCAGGTACAAGTTTTTCTCTTTCTTACCGGCCATAGAATTCACATGCAAGAATTGCCTTTGCAAACACAAGATCAGGAGAAGTGCAGATTAATTTTGCCTAGGTTCTCATTTATTCCAAGTCTGTGAATATGAAAATTGATAGATGTGCAACTGGCTCTCACATGCACATTACAATCACTCTGGTATGATAAATCTTGCTTGAGAACAAATCACTTTAAATACACGTTTTAAATATTTTTTAGAATATGATAAATCTAATCATTTATGTAGTTTAACCCATTAATAGCTGCAGCTTTTGTGAAAAACTGTGTTTTTGAAGCTAGTCGAGCAGATTTCGGGTCACTGTTAGGGTTTAAAAAGCTCAAACTTACCACAAACTCATTCACAGCTTGTACGCTCGATGCCCTTTCGATCCAAATGCAAAATGGCGGCCTGAAATTCTCGGGCAGGCACACTAAAGCAAAATTTCGAGTTTTGGGTTGAAAAGTAATGCCCCACTTACGACTTTTACTTTTCTCTCTTTCTCCTGCTCTTTTTTTCCCCTTCCTTGCCTGAATTTTCTCCTCACTTGCTGGAAATTTAGTAGGCTTCATTTTGGTGTAGAGAGTTTTTAGGAAACTACTCATTATTTTCAAACCACATGCTCAGAAGGTAGGTGGGTAATGGAACAAGATTTTCGTGCAGATTTTCAGGTTAAAGTTACATGGTTTTTTGGCTATTTCTCCAGTCTCCTTTACTCAATTGCGCTCATTCTGGTATCGTTTGTAAGATGTTTTCAACCTGTTTAAGTACGTGCTCAAAGTCATGCTCCAGGGTTAAAAGTGATGATGTCACAAGGTGTAGAAAGGGTGTGGTTCCACATGGGCGCTTACGGGTGCACTGGACATCAATAGGTTAAAATAAGTATTAGCTTTTCTATATATTTTTTGTTATTTTAATTCAGACTTTAGTTCTTTATAGGGTTTCTCCTTTGATTTTGATTGATACTATTTATCATGCTGATCACTAGTTTATACCAGCCAATCTATTAGATTGCTGATTGGTTTTATCAGTTGAAATAAAGCTTATTATTATTATTATTATTATTATTATTATTATTATTATTATTTTAATCTCATAGTGATCACCAACATGTTCCATCCTCATGGCAAATCAGTATTCCAGCCTTTTTTGCAAAATTGTAGGCCATTGAACCTCTCATTTGTTTTAATTCTTTTTTTTTTTTTTACTTCAACAGTGCCCTTTCAGCAGGGCTTGGCAATCTTGTCTCTCAAAAAATTGTCAAACGTGGGACTGGTGCACTTGTTGAATACCGACCAGTGATAGCTTTTGCGGCATTTGGGTGAGTACCATAAGATTGTTAGCAATCAACAAACATATGAAATACATATATATGAACTGCAGTTATGAAACGTATATGTGCACGATCCTTTGCAGTAAAGCACTATTTAAGCAATAGTGAAAATCAGACCTGAAAAAAATTCAGGCCTGTACGGGATTCGAACCACTGACCTCTGCGATACTAGTGCAGCGCTCTACCAATTGAGCTAACAAGCCAACTGGGAGCAGGCCATCAAATTAATTCGACATAAACCCGTAGATGATAAATCAAACAACAAACATATGAAATACATATATATGAACTGCGGTTATGAAACGTATATGTGCACGATCCTTCGCAGTAAAGCACTATTTAAGCAATAGTGAAAATCAGACCTGAAAAAAATTCAGGCCTGTACGGGATTCGAACCACTGACCTCTGCGATACTAGTGCAGCGCTCTACCAATTGAGCTAACAAGCCAACTGGGAGCAGGCCATCAAATTAATTCGACATAAACCCGTAGATGATAAATCAAACAACAAACATATGAAATACATATATATGAACTGCGGTTATGAAACGTATATGTGCACGATCCTTCGCAGTAAAGCACTATTTAAGCAATAGTGAAAATCAGACCTGAAAAAAATTCAGGCCTGTACGGGATTCGAACCACTGACCTCTGCGATACTAGTGCAGCGCTCTACCAATTGAGCTAACAAGCCAACTGGGAGCAGGCCATCAAATTAATTCGACATAAACCCGTAGATGATAAATCAAACAACAAACATATGAAATACATATATATGAACTGCGGTTATGAAACGTATATGTGCACGATCCTTCGCAGTAAAGCACTATTTAAGCAATAGTGAAAATCAGACCTGAAAAAAATTCAGGCCTGTACGGGATTCGAANACATATGTTTCATATGTTTGTTGTTGTTTGATTTATCATCTACGGGTTTATGTCGAATTAATTTGATGGCCTGCTCCCAGTTGGCTTGTTAGCTCAATTGGTAGAGCGCTGCACTAGTATCGCAGAGGTCAGTGGTTCGAATCCCGTACAGGCCTGAATTTTTTTCAGGTCTGATTTTCACTATTGCTTAAATAGTGCTTTACTGCGAAGGATCGTGCACATATACGTTTCATAACCGCAGTTCATATATATGTATTTCATATGTTTGTTGTTTGATTTATCATCTACGGGTTTATGTCGAATTAATTTGATGGCCTGCTCCCAGTTGGCTTGTTAGCTCAATTGGTAGAGCGCTGCACTAGTATCGCAGAGGTCAGTGGTTCGAATCCCGTACAGGCCTGAATTTTTTTCAGGTCTGATTTTCACTATTGCTTAAATAGTGCTTTACTGCGAAGGATCGTGCACATATACATTGTTAGCAATGTTCAATTTTGCACACCACTGGGAACAGAGAAGGTGAAGTTGACTTTATCTCCAGTTTAAACCTTTTTTCACTGATTTCTTCCCACAATATCACCCCTGAATCAAACACTATGGTCTCAAGAATGATCACCAACTGGAGAAGTTCCTGATTGTTAAACAAATTCTCCCTCTCTGCATCTTAGGAAATGTAAAAAGAACAGTATAGAGAACATGGATACTGAGGTTGGGGTGTAAAGGGTGAGATAAACCATAAAATTCCAGCTAATGTCATGACTTTATCCTGTTGATTGACAGTGACTGTGGATACATGTAATTGTTTTATGCACCAGTGACCTTGTGAAGTTTCACTGTCAAGGAGAATTTTTTTGACAATCAGGAGCTTCTTGAATTGTTGATTATTTTCCTTATTCTCGTTACCTTTATATTTGATTCAAGGGTGATACTGTTTAGAGAAATTAAAAGCCAGTCACTCTTGAGACACAAAGTTTTAAGAAAGAGAATTGTCTCTTTTTTCATCCTTTCCTCCACAATGCATCTCACGGAAAGCTTGGCTTTCTGATCATGCTTTGTTTGGAAAGGTTTGTTTGTTGACCACTCTTGAGGCACAATGGTTTATGAAAGACAATCTCATGGAAAGCTTGGCTTTCTGATCATGCTTTGTTTGGAAAGGTTTGTTTTTTGACCACTCTTGAGGCACAATGGTTTATGAAAGACAATCTAATGGAAAGCTTGGCTCACGGAAAGGTTTGTTTTTTGACCTATGTCGCTGAAATGATTTCAAGAGAAGTGTTAATTATGCCAAGGAGAATTTGTTTAACAATCAAGAGCTTCTTCAGTTGGTGATCATTTCCTTTATTCTTGTGGCCTTAATGTGTGATTCAGAGCTGATATTGTAAGGAGAAATTAGATGCTGGTCACTCTTAGAGGTTAAAAGGGTCAACTTCCTTTTCCTAAAGAACTGAAGTTCCTTTTTTTCTTGTTTCTCTCCTTTCTTAACAGGTTTTGTGCAACTGGTCCTCTTATACACTATTTCTATGAGGCCTTGGACAAACTAGTCCCCAGGAAGGTTCCCTATGCAAAAGCCAAAAGACTGTTTGTTGACAGAGGCATATTTAGCCCTTTGTTTTTACTGGTGTTTTATTACGTTGTTGCAATACTAGAGGTAGGTTTACTCTGCAGTTATGTTGTAAAGGGTTAGTTAATTAAATTGTCAAGCCAGACCCTTAGTTAAATTCAGCCACCAGTTAAATGAATACCTCTTAATTAACTGAGTTCAAGGTCCGTACTATAAGTTAAAGACCCAGTTTTTTCAGCTCAGATTTGTAGTCCAAGTGCAAAGCACACAAGCCAGGCCATAACTTACTGTATAGACAGGGCTGAACACTAACTTTTCAGCTTACTAGCCAAGTGGCTAGTGAGAACTTAGATGTTACAACAATTTCAGTTTGTTTACTAGCCAGACTGGCTAGTGGGATTCAAAATCCACCAGCCAAAAGTGAATTTCTATTAGTCTGTGGCTAGTTGGCTACCCTTAGTGTTGAGCCCTGATAGACCCAGAAAAGTAGGTTAGTGTGATATATATTTTAAAAGTAGGTTAGTGTGATATATATTTTATCTGTGGGTTCAAAGAGGGGGTTGATTTCAATTCAAACAAACTTTGGAATCAAGCAGGCATTACAGTGAAATATGGCGGGGCCGGCACTAAATTGACCAATTATAGCCCTGTAAAAGATTCAATTATATTTTCCAACTGAAATGAAGAACTAAAACAGCTTCAAATGACAAGCAGGTGGTAGAGAACAATGCAGCATACTACATTGACTTATCACAGAGTGTGTCGTAAATGAAAGATATGAAAAACCCAAATTACATTATAATTACTACTAGATAAATTGTGATGTAAAAATCAAATGCCCGTGAAAAAGTATTAGGCCTTGAGGGAGTCAGCAATAGATTTTCCAGGAGTGTCACTGATTATTAGTGCTAGACCCCTGGAAAACCTCTTTCCAACTTGTCTCAAATCTTCCCGCAGGCAGGTAAAAGTGTGTCTTGCAGCCAAATATCGAGGACCTGCCTTTAGGCTAGGATCCATTAGTCAAGAGTTCTTTTTCCTTGCTTCACACCTGATCAAAGAGTAGTAGTAAGTGCTTTGACTGTCAATAAAGGGCTTTTTATTTACTTTGTGCACAGGGGAAGTCTCATAGAGAAGCAATAATGAAAATACGGGAGACTTACTGGACAGCACTGAAAATGAGTTGGAGAGTGTGGATAGTGTTTCAGTATGTCAATCTCAACTATGTACCCAGACAGGTAATAAAAATGTCTTACTGGTGATATAACGAATCAATGAAATCATTGTTCAATCTATGAGTGGAAACCACACACCAGTAATCAGAATTTAGTTAACATTTACTCAGAGCAAGTTGCATATACAGCTGAGCTTTAATTCTGGTTTGCATAGCATGAAATGTTTAAGAGTATTACTCCCCCCTCTCCCTTCCCCTCCCCTCACCCTTCCCCTCCCCCTGATGGGATGCCAGTCTCTTACAAGGTTACCTGCCAACATTTCATCGTGCTTTGCTGATAATTTGCCGTACTCATTTTTCATTCTGCACCCCTTGACATGGGGTCCAGTGCTTTAACCATTATGCAACTGTCTCAGCCTCTCCAGTGGAAACTAAAGTCAAAGCATTAAGAATGAAAATAAAAGGGAAAGTACAAGAAACTCAAGTAGAATAGGGAATGAAAGAAAAAGACACTCTCTTTTTATCAATTTCTTGACCATTTATCATGATCAAAGTAACAGCTCATTTTTTAATGGTTATCATGCAATTTGTCTCTTTTGCCTGCTTGAAAATGGCAAGTTTATTCCTTTCAGTCCCAAGATTTCATTATAAATTCTCTTTACTGTCTGTGACATGATTCTTATGATGTTACTTTGGAGAATTTGGTATTGCATCAAGTTATAATTCCAAACTGATATTTTTCATTATTCTCATCACTTGTCAGCTTGATTTTGTGATGATGCTGTGGGGAGAAATTCTGTCTTGGTCACTCATTAGGAGTTGAGTGTTAAATGCAGTAAAGATTCCTATGAAGAGGAATTATTAAATTATAATCAAATTGTTTGAAATTTTTGTTTTCAGTATAGAGTACTCTGTGGAAACCTGATGGCATTTGTTTGGAACATCTATCTGGCAAGCAAGCGTGCACAGAAGTCATAATTCATTAATTTAATAATATATAATTTAATAGAGTTATATTTTATGTTTTCATCATATCCTTTGTAGATGCCTTTAGCATTTGTTTTTGAGGAGTGAACCGAATGAGACAGTATGAATTTGAAATCAAATTCAGTGACATTAGTACATATATTGATGATTTAAAATAGATTTTAAATTTAAATTTGTACTATGATGCCATACCTTTGATGTGTTTTTGGTCTACATTAATTAATCCCAAATGGTAATTGTGACCTTTACCTTATGTATGTAAGTGGCAGATAGGGGTATTGTTCAGGTAACCTGTTTATTTTTATACCTAACTTAAAATGCTTTGTGAGATAACACTCATTAGCCGAAAAAAAAAAAAAAAAAAGTGATGTTGTGGGGAGGAGTTCTGAATTTGTTTTATTGATCAAACAAACACGGCTGCATGACAGAAACCAGCCTTATACATACTTGTCTACCAGTAAGAAAAACTGCAAACTACACTTGAGAAGCCAAGTTCATGCCTCTATTGACACCTAGAAAAGTTTGTGGTCTTATAATTGTGTATATGTTCCTTGAACAGAGGGATATTGAACTTTTAGTAGTAACTTCCTACTAACCAGGCATAAGGTCTGTATTTGGGAGTATTGGTGCAAGGTTGTGGAAATACAGACCTTGCTGTGCTCGGTCTGTACTGAAAAAACCAAAGGCCCTATTTTCCCCAGTACAGCCTTAAGCATGAAAAGTCACCAAGTAAGTGGTTTGTTATAATATAGCACTTAAACCAAACTTGTTTATTTTGAATTTTCTGGCTCCAGCACTTCTAGCCAACAATTAGGAACAACTGGGTATTGGTAGAAAATAATTTTCAGAAATCACAGTGATTATGAGTATTATAATATTATAATTATAATCATGTTTACTGAGTATTGTTCGTAATATGTGGCAAACATGTATGGAATAACTGAAACTTAAAACACAATTAAATAAAGCACGTTTATAATTCAAGTGTGTGCTTTCAATCTCTCAAATAAAACAAAAACACAGCTACTGTATACTTGATTTTATTGCACAAGTGGTACATATGTTCTTAGCTTTTTCCAAGAAGTCCATGCATAATTGATAAAGATGATGATTTGTAACTTGTCCCAAAGTGATTCCTGTAAATTAAATTGAAAATGATTAACTCTTACTTATAATTTAGTTAGGCAGGTGACATTAAAGAACCCACTCACGAGATTACTGTGATGTGGTCTGGCCTGTTTACTGGGATGGGGG